TTTCCAGCAAGTTTAATGTTTCTGTTTTAATATTTAGATCTTTAATCCATTTGGATTTTAATTTAGTGCATGGCGAAAGATAAGGGTCTAATTTTAATCTGTGACAGGTTGATATCCAGTTTTTCCAACACCATTTATTAAAGAGGCTATCTTTCCTCCACTGAGGATGGTGAGCTCCTTTGTCGAAGATGAGGTAGCTGAGTACATCTGCATTTGTTTTTGTGTCTTCCAGTCTGTTCCATTGATCCTCAGGCCTATTTCTTTGCCAGTACCATGCTGATTTTATCACAGTGGCTTTGTAGTATAGTTTCAAATTGGGAATTGTTACACCTGGTGCCATGTGACTGTTGCCTATGATGGCTTTTGCTATTCTAGGTCTCTTGTGGTTCCAAATGAATGCAATGCCAAGTGAAGAGATATTTTTGAAGTGATTATCATGATAAAAACAGCCTATTAACTGAGTCACCTGGGAAAATTAATTTTTTCTCTGAGAGTGTTTTCCCACCTGTAAAAGGTAATATTTTCCTTCTTTCAAGGCTATGGTAACGAAGGAAACCAAACGAAAACTACTTCTCTCAATATACCTGGTGCTTAGTTGGTGCTGGAGTCAGTATACTGTTTGTACATTTCACAATTTACAAAGTGTCTATTCACCCATATTGTGTATATTCTGGTCCTTACTGTAAAATGGCCACCTTACCTGGAATCTGTCTACAAGCAACTATGCATTTTCTGTAGTTCTCTAAATGATTAAACAGATTATTATAAGGTTTTTAGTTCTTTTTATTTATTATCATCTAATAATACTTACAAAGACAAATTAACCGTCATCTTTTCACAAACTAAGTAAGTAACATGGGTTTGGGGGCTGGCTTTTAGGCAGGGAGAGATGAAAGAATTATGGATAGAATCTTAGCGCTCTTTAAAAATATTCTAATGTACTGAAAAAACAAGTTTGGATCTTTGTAGATGAGATCCGCACTATGATCTAATCAAATGTGAAGACTTCAAAGCTCACTGTTGCAAACCTGATCTGGTGTAGCTTCTTGCAAACTAAAAATAGCCATAAAAAATGAAACAATAGGGATTTAGTCATCTCAAAGTAATTTCAGATTTTGTAACTTAGAAAAATATAAACCATAAATTACACCAACAATTTACTTTAGGTTTAGTATCAGTGAACAAGACTTTTGTGTTTTTTTCATATCTTAGATTTTTACAAGAGAAATGATTATTTTATTAATAATTATTAGTGAGTAAGAAGAATGTATTTCAATATAGCCTTAAACACAAAATTTGCTACGGTCTCATTGCACGGTATGTTTCATCAAAATTGAAAGAATCAGAATTACAAGTCAAAAAAAACAAAACAATGGGCAGGGTCTACTCCAACTTCCTGGGTCTGAGTCTCTGCTTAAGAATGTGTAGTACAGAGGCTGCTGGAAACCTCTGGTGATTACATTTTCCCCAGTGTCTATTGAGAAGCCTGGCTTTGCATCACCTGAAAGATCACTTGGAAAACCCAGTGACACTGGATTTCCTTTGCAGTTATGGCAACGGAAAACCTAGAGATGTTGGAGCTTGCTTAGGTTTTATCCTGTTTTAACAGTACTTTTAGTAGGATGATGAATCATCAAATATCTTTCAGAATTTGGACAGAGTGTTTTCCTATTCTTATGGTTCTACCTCTGTAAGATCTACCTATGTTGCTCTCAGATTAGCATTTTAGGAACATATTTATTTACAAAAATAAAAAAGTTTTCTTCTCAAATAATTCGAACAGTTAAAGCTAAAAATAAATATATGGAAATGCATCTAAGCAGCATTGAGAATTAATGCAGAAGTTCAGTATACATAAGAAAATCTTTTAGGCCATTCTTTCAAGTACTAAATCTTAAAAGTGTATTAAAAATACAATTCACAATTAACTCTAGAATATATTAGTATAGATAATAAAAAATAGTGGATCTAAGATCATTACAGTGGAAAAATACTCTAAGCCCGAAAAATTTTACTTCTGTGTTGCTTGATTTCTCCAATGAGTCTCTACCTCTTACCACTATGTAATGAAAAACACCAAATGGCTTAAAAAGAACCCAGTTACATAAATTGACATTACTACTCAAAGAAAAATCATATAAAAACTTTTGAGTGAGACAAATTTATAAAGCGAATTTCATTCTTATATTTAAAATGCATGAAGTCAGGTTCCTACAAAAAACTTAATACACTTAAGAACTTAGAATTCCACATCATAACATTCAGTTCTATGATTTTCAGTTACTATGTCTATTTTTGCTCAAAACACAGCTTTGCTTTCAGTATTTAGGATTTTTTTTTCCATTTCTTTTGTGTTTGACTGTAAGTATCTTGGCTTCTTTCAGCCTACCCTATCCTTTAACTTAGAATCACTATGATTGAACTCTACTACCACTCTCCCCTGGCACTGTGCATGTTTCTCTGTCAAATGCAACACTGATTTCCTAGAGTTAAGGCCATGAGGACTTTAGAAATCTCATCCAGAAAAGACTACGTAATTCAGGGATCTTCTCTGCAACTTCCTTGGTGGGGCACCAGCTTTACCCACACTCACCTTGCAGGTAGCTCTTGCCACGGCCCAAACAGCTTTAGTGGTGTGGTATTAACCTGTGTGGTTTTAACTGTGATCCTAAGAAAATATAATGATTTCCAAGAACATACAAATCACAGAACGCTTATTTAAGCAGCAGAAACAAGACTAAAATGCTTGCTTGGAAAATCTTTGGTTCTGATGGATCTTGTTTAAAGGGTGAGGTCAGTAATAGAGGCCAGGGCAGCAATTTTTATCATCAAGCCAGGAAATTTTGGTGCTACTGAGTAGTCATTCTGAATCCAATGCCGTAAAGAACTTCCCAGTCACTTTCTACCTAACACCCCTGCTGACCTGAATCTTACACAGAGAGCCAAGCTTGGCATTTAGGGAGCTCTCACCATGTGTCCATTATTAATATCACAGACACTTCCCGTAAAACTACCATTACTGATGATGGTGGCTCACCTGCTACCTCATCTACTTCTCTGTAGTATGTGTCACTGCTGCCCACACCTACCTCTTCAAAAGTCTCTCTGAGCTCTAGGGTCAATTCTTGGTTCTCCTTTGCCATTTGTTGATTACTCTTTGGTCTAATGTCTTTGTTCTTTCTCCATACCCTTCCATTTAAGGTAACCATTCTTTTCGGCCCCTTATTTTTCCAGAAGGCTGACCCTGGGCTCTCTCCTTTTATCCCTGTCATGTGTTTAATGCTCCACCTTAGACAACCCACAACCATCTCTGGGTCTCATTCATGCATGAGAAGGGCAAGAAACTGGATTTGAAGACTGGGATCATTCCTGTAAATGACAGCATTGATGCTAATTCCATCCATTTTCCATCAGTATGTGGAACCATTTCAGCAAGCCTCTGGGAATCTATGACAGGGCTAAGGTCACCAGGAAATCACTAAAGACAGTATGAGGATTCTTAAAAATCACCTGGCCTGAAACCCTCAATTTACAGCTGAGGAAACCTAGGTCCACAGAAGGTACTTGATCACCCTATGACAGAGAGAAGAATATTAAGGTCTTTTAGGATTTCACTTGTTGCAAAATTAGGATTTAAGTGTCTTCTAATCTGGTCAAAATGCATAATGCTATCAGGGTAAAAAGTGATACAGAAAGTATATATATATATTGTATAGAACACATTAAAACCTTTTTCTCCCTCTAACAGATAAACTCGCCATTGTAACTACAAGAATTTTGGAGAGATATTTGCTATAGGTAATGCGTAACACAAAATAGCACAATCTCATCACATAAAACGTCTTAGATTAACATGTTGAAATAGCCAGATAAAACAAAACAGGAAGTCATAGAATACATATATTTACATTCATTTAAATATCCAAAGTACAATAGGGTAGTCTCTATTTAGTAGCTCATATAATTTAAGATTTCACATACAGAAGCATATGAACAAATATTAGTCTAATTGAATAAAGGCTTATTCAGACACTTTGGTATTGACACATAGTCTTGTAACAAATAATGACTTTAAATTTCCAAAGAAATCTTTTCTACAGGATACAGAATGGAAAGAATGTACAGAATGGAAAAAAAGTCAACTGAATGTACCTTTCTTACACTATTTACTGATGTGACATTATCCAGCAAATTTATCAGTGCAATTATTTCACTCTGGTCTGAAATTACAATTTTGGCTGAATAATTCCCAAATCTAACTTTATGCTTTACAAAATAATTGTTGCTTGATTCTTCTTTCTATGTATTTTATAAAATGAAATGGGTTATTGATGCTTTTCTTTAAAACTAACTCAACTTTGGGCCTCGTAAGTTAGCAAAGCATATTTTTAAAGACTACTAATATATGGAGTTCATATTTTTCTTTTAAAGGTCCTGAATGAAGGGATAACGTCAGTCATATATCACTCTGGGGCCAGCTGTGAAGATATCAATGATGGTAAAGACTAAGATATTGTTATCCAGAACTTAAACTTGGGAAAACAGCCCCATCTTTCTCTGGCACACTGAGCAACCAAAGTGCTTTACCTGATTTGCTATTAACCCTTTTAAGAGGTCATTTTGGTTTTATCTCAACAAACAAAACAACACAATTTCTGTCCCACTATCTATACACAATTAAATATGGATGAAATTACATCATACAAACACAGGCGCACAATTACGTGGATGCCACAAAAGGTGTGTCTGAGAACACTGAATTGACTGAATCTGAATCAGATTTCACCCTTGTGGACTTTAAAATGCCTTCAGCCATAACTGTCTCACTGGGGAAGAGCCTCACTTTCCCATTCTGCCCTGTTGCAGTATCCTTCAGAGGCTCCAAAAACACCACTCTTCTACTTGCCTTCCGTCCATCAGCAGAGGCATCACCAGCAGGGCCAGGACTTAGAACTGATGAATGCGCATTGCTTTGGTTTAGCATATTTTTCTGTCTCTTGATTTTACACTTGCAGGGACATGGTGTTAGATAGAGGTACAAAAGTACCAAAACGATACTGGCCACACAGGCAGCAAGGGTGGTAAAAGCTGTGTTAAATGCCTCATGAACATGGGATTTGTTTACAGTGAAATTGCTCACATTTATTGTGACATCCACAGTCTCGTTTAGCAGACGTTGCCTATTCATTGCAATACAAGAATATACTCCAGCATCCTCAAAACGAGGGCTTTCTATCACTAGACTTCCATTGTAAAACACATGAAAGTTTTCCATCTCTTTATCCGGCTCCAACAGCCTGTTATCTGGACCAACCCAGATGAAATCCATGTTTCCATTACCAATCTTGCTGTCACAATGGACAACCAGTCTTTCCCCTACCTGAGCCTCACAAATGAAGCCAAGTGCATGGAAGGAACCATTGACGACACTGTCAGAACAATTCATAAAGCTATCTTGGAGCAGAAGCAGCAGCTGACTGGAGCGCTTTGAGCCAGACCACAGGTGACAGGTGTAATCGTTCTTAAAATCCATCACAGAACTAAAGTGCCTACGATACCAGAAGGTCAGCAAGGAGTACAGGGAACAGTCACAGACAAAAGGGTTTCCATGTAGATAAATGCCTCTCAGCTGTTTCCCTGGCACTAAATTTATATGGTGTATTGGTATAGAAGGGATTCGATTATAAGAAACATCTAAGAACATCAGTTCTGCAAGCTTGAACCTTCCAACATACAAATCCATAGGAAACTGTGTGAGAAAGTTTCCACTTAAGTAGAGTTTCTGCAACTGGGACAGCCCTCCAAATGCTGATGGGTCGAGATAGGAGATGTGATTGTTGTAAAGCAGGAGCACTTCCAGGACCTTCAGTTCTTGGAACACAGCACTTTTCACTGTCTTCAGCTTATTGGATGATAAGTCAAGACACTTCAGATTTGGAGTTGTGGAAAAACTGCCGGTGGAGATGCTAGTGATATTGTTATGACGAATAATAAGAGTGTTCAGCTTGACAAATGACACTGGAATCCATTCAGAATCCAGAAGTCCAATTCTGTTATAGCTCAGATCCAGTCTCTTAATCAGTCTGAAAAGGTTCCCAGGCACCTTGGACAGGTTTTTGTTGGTGCAGCTGACAATGTCAGTGGCACAAATGCAAGTCGTGGGGCACAGACCAGAGGTGCCAGGGCTCACAGTCACAGCAATCACCAACAAACACAGCAGCTCTCTGCAACCCGGTCTAAGGACTCCTGGCAGGGTGGGCAATGCGTGAGACTGTAAAGACATTATGGTCGCTTCTCTTTTAGGAGCCTTTTCACCAGCTCTGTGACCCACCAGTCAATCTAGTAAACAATATTTAAGAGGGAAAAAGCACAAGTTAACTACCAGCTAGTTAATCCTTTAGAGTCACTCAGTACTTTTTTCCAGTAACTTTTGAAATGGGTTCAATTCAAACTATAGAGCCCTATGCTGCCTTTTTAATGCTGAATGCACCCCCCACACACACACACACACACACTCACACCATGTTACTCCGGCTCCTACAGGAACATTCTCTCAATACAACTATCTCATCATCAGAAATTTAATTTTTTTAAAGGTAGCATCCTGCGTTTTTTTTAAGCTGCCTCCAACAGACAAAAAATACACAAACAAATCCTATAAACAATTAAACGGAAATACTAAACACGACACCAGTCCAAAAGACAACTCACAGAGCAGCGAAGCCTCACGTGCTCTGGGGATTGGCTGCCCACGGCGATGTTTTCCAAAGGTCTGCACGCCCGACTGTCGTCGGTCTGTCTGTGTCAGTCACTTTCACACCTTCCGAGTTCTTTCCCTCCTGTTCCCGGCGGGCGGCAGCCTCTCGCTGACTCTCAACTTTGGGGACTTTCAAGCAGCCGCGGCGACGGCGGCCAGCCCGGTCGCAGTAGACCTCTCTGCCGGCTCCA